ACAGAATCACGAGACTAGAGCAATTTAGAACCGAAAGTGACCTCGGTGATCTAGTGCAGAGTTCTTAACCTCCGTTATGCCATGGACCCCTTTTTTCAGCCTTTGTGAAGCCCAGGGACCCCTCAAACCATGTTTTTAAATGGATAAAATAAGATACATGGGATTACAAAGGAAATCAACTGTATTGAAATACAGTCTCCAAGGTTAAGAACCTTGGATCTAGTCCAACCCCTGCTCAATGTCACACCAGCGGTGAGCAGCAAAAGTGGGATCAAATCAAACTGAGAAAAAAGTATAACGCTTTGACGGTCTGCCTTGCCTGCTGTGTGCTCTGACCACATGTCCCTTTTTGTCTGATATTTATGTGTGGACATGCTGCTTAAAAGGGTCATGCTGTCAGATGCTGGCACCCATACACAGATTCCCGCTGAGGCCTCTGGATTTATATGCATAATGGCTCTTTATTGTTTTGTTCTTTTTTTTTTTTTAAATCTAAAAGCATTTTTGCTTCTCAGGTCTTCCTTTCCCCAGAAACTCAGCTGTCCCTAACTACTGTTTGTGACATTTTTTGTAAATCTCTCTCATATTTCCCTCTACTTCTCTCTTTTCTTCCTCCCTTATTCCTTATGTGTTATTTTCCTCCTTTATTTTCTCCCTTTCATTCAAGGGAATGAAATAAATTTCAGAGGGAAAATGTCAAGTATTAGATGCTAAGTAAAAAGGAAAAAATGTCCTTGTAAAAAGGAAATAAGATAAGCTTCTGATAAAAAGTGGTTTCAAGGCAACCAATAATATGGTTGATGTGATACGATAATATGGTAGAGAGTATAATCCTTATTTATGTTCTTGTACAAATATCTTATTTGTCCAAGTCTAAACTGCCTACAAATAGAATTCAGAATGTTAGCATTGGAAGACACTGAGTTCATCTAACTCAGGAATTCTTAACCTGGGGTCTATAACTTTAAAAAAATATATATTTTTATAGCTGTATTTCAGCATAATTGGTTTCCTTTTTAGTCCTTTGTATTATTTTTTCCAAGACTCTTCTTTTATTAACATGTAAAAATGAAAATTGGCTCTCACATAATTATAATGAAAAATAATAGCTAACATTTATGTAGCCCTTTAAGTTCACAAAGCACTTCCTAGACATTATTTCACTTGATCCTTGTAACAACCTTGTGAGGCAAGTGCTACTATCATCTCCATTTTGCAGAGGAGCAAAGGGAGGTTAAGTGACTTGCCCAACATCACACAGACAGCAAGTATGTGAGGCAGTGTTGAGGTTTAGGGGTGCTGGGACCCCAAAAATCATGACATCAGGTCCTACCTGAATGAGTTTGACCCCAAGCCTTCTTTAAACCAAAGACAAGGTTTGTTAATGATATACCATATTGGCCAGACTCATAAGGACTCCAGGCCTTTGTATTGCTAATACAAGTGGGCCAGATCTTAAGAATCTGAGCACCTTAATGGAGGCCAGATGGACCTCATATGCAGAAGGACTGTGGGAGGGATCTAGCAGTGGCCAAGTAGTCTGGGGTGACTGGAGTTGGGGTCTAAGGAAGATCTAGATGGGAGTGGCCAGTAAGCTGGGGTGACTGTGAGGTAACAGAACGCAAGGGACCTGGACCATGGTAGCCAAGGGAGAATGGAGCCTACATAGGCTTAAGGGTGGGAAGCGGCCTGAGGCCGTAGGGAGGTAAGACAATGGAGGACTAGGCTAGGTCTTTGTTTTTTTTAATTTAAAAAAAAATTATTTATTTTTAGTTTTCAACAATCACTTCCAAAAGCTTTTGAGTTTTAAATTTTCTCCCCCTTCCTCTCCAAGATGGCGCGAAATCTGATATAAGCTCTACATGTAGGCTAGGTCTTTGTATTATTTATTTTTTTTAACATGATTTAAAGGCATGTAGGTGGTATAGATTGGATAGAGTGCTAGACGTGGAGAAAAGAAGACCTGAGTTTAAATCCTACCCCAAATACTAGCTATGTGACCCTGGGCAAGTCACTTAATAGCTGTCTGCCTCAGTTTCTTCCTCTGTAAAATGAGGATAATAATAGCAGCTACCTTCCAGGTTGTGATGAGGATAAAATGAGACAATATTTTTAAAGCATTTTGTAAACCTTAAAGCACTACATAGATTCTAGCTATTATTATTAACAATAAAAATATTCTAAGAAGGGATCTGTAGGCTTCATCAGATTGTTAAAGGATCCAAAACAAAAAGGATTAAGAACGTTTTATCTAATCCAATACCTTCAGGCCATTCAGTGATTTAGTAATGGAACAGAGCATTCAACTCAAGTCTTTTGACTCTAAATCCAAAACTCTTTCCATTTATATTACACCCCTAACTTGAGCTCTCTTTGAAAGGAAAAACATGTAAATATGTGCTGAGAAATAATACTGTATATATGATATGCTTAAGTTTTGAGGAAACCAGATGTGGAGTAAAAGTGAGGTCTCTATTGGGATCAACATACCTCGTCCAACCCTATCGTTTTACAGATGGCTGCCATGTACCAGTGATCAGCAGAATTCATTTGGCATTTGAAGCAAGTGGAAAGTCTGTATCACGATGTTCTGTAGCTATGTTCTTGTCTGCCTACCAAAATCATGAACTCTTGCAGGAACTGGAACTGGAGGGGAGAGGGATGGTGTCTTTCCATTTACTTATTTTTTCTTTTACCTGCAATAAGCTATGTAAGAAAAAAGGATGATAGTAGGTAACATTAGCTAAATGTTTAAAGACTCCTGAGTGAAAACACAGAAAAATGTAAGAAGAAAAAGTGTACTTAAAAGTAATTCCATTTAAATACTAGGCAGGACACAAGAGACAGTTCATGAATTTTAAAATGTAAAGAAAAATGTTCAAGAAAAAAAGAATTTCCCTAATTAACATCTAGACTTGGTCATCACTGCATCCAGGAAGTTTCATTTTTTTGTTTGCATGAGAGTACTTTAAAGAACATGGAATATAAGGTAATCTTTAAATTGAACATAGCTAATATTTTTTCTTTTCTTCCACATTCCTTCTGTTGAACTTTGAGGAAGTATTTATTACCATAAGGAATATTTCTATCATAAAATGTCATTTCATTAGAAAGAAGTCCGGTTAGTTTTTCAATGGAATTGCCTTTCAATACATCTTACCATATTTTATTTTTCAGCGTTTTTACCCAGTGGTCTTTAAATAGCTAGTATTATATATATTTTTTTTTTGTTTCTTAGATTGCTTAGTGAAGGCAAAAGCTAAAATAACAAAATGGGAAAATTTACACAGAATACTAATGAGGAAGTGACTGGAAAGGGAAGAGAAATAGGCATGGCACTAACAGGGATGGTAGGTACAAGCCTGTTGTCCATATTTACATTAGTCATTCTTAAAGGATTCCCCTCATGTTTGTATTCTGATTCTTTTAAGTTAAGTGAATAGAAATTGCTAAGTGTTTTCTCATTTTCTAGAAGCCAATCTCCATATATAACCCTAGAATCTTGTATTGGAAAAGTACCTTTGGGTTTCAATAATTCTAACCCTGTTACTTTACAGATGAGGAAACTGAAACCCAAGGAAATGAAGAGACTTGCTCAAGGAAACACCATACATTAGCATCAGAATGAAGACTAGAACCAGGGTCTGTAAATCTTGGTCCAGTGTTCTTTTCATTATCCCATGCTGTCCTTCAGAGGTCAACAGGGCTCTTTAAGTATTAGACTGAAAAGCAAGGAAGGAAATGGAAGAAAGAAAAGCAGATTGTTTAGTGAAAAGAACTCTGATCTCAGAGTAAAAAACTGGATTCTAGTTCTAGTTCCACCTTAGGCAAATTTCAGTGGGCTGTAGGTTTTTTTTTCTATAAAATGAGAGGATTAGACTAGATCAGGAGTGTTCAACACACTGGCTTCAGCAGTCCCAAGAGCTACCCAAACCAGATTAAAATGTAATTAGGAAATATTTAACAAAATAAAAATACAATAAAACATAGATGACATTGTATTTTGAAACTAATATGTAGCCCACAGGGATCATTATGTATGGGGATTAGGGGTCCCTGTTTCTATTTGAGTTTGACATCATTGGACCAGATTATCTTTACGGTTTGTTTCATCTCCAAAATTTGATTCATTGAGAGGTGTACATTGTGTAGGCTGGGGAAAAGCTAAGGAAACAGATCAAAGTGACCTCTAACTGGAAGGCGAGATGAGTTCATCAGAATTTTCCTTTAGATTCAGGTCTTTAAGGTTTATAGAACCCAGACCTGACTTAGTTTCATTACTTAATGGGTATGCTGTAAGCATGTTGTTAGATTATTTAAAGTTTTTTACTTAAAGAAACTAACACTTCCCCGTTTCATCCTATATCTTGAAACTGTGATGTTGTGGAAAGAGCACTGGAATGGATTTCAGGAGAACTGGTACTTCTACCATTTGTGTGACTTGGGCAAGTCACTTTAGCTCTGTGCCTCATTTCTTCATCTGTCAAATAAGGGGACTGACCTCTGAAGTGCTTTCTAGCTCTTTTATTCTAATGGTCCATGTAGTCCCATTGGATAGTAGGGAGCTATCCACAGTCATTGGAGAACTGAGAAGTATATTGTCCTAGAGATAGAGATATACAGATACAAATTTATTAAACTGTTTTATGTAGACCAGGGATAGGGAACCTCCAGCTTCGAGGCCACATGTGGCCCTCTAAGGTCCTCAAGTGTGGCCCTTTGACTGCATCCAAACTTCACAGATTGAATCCCCTTAATAAAAGGATTTGCTCTGTAAAACTAGGACTCAGTCAAGGACCTAGAAGGCCACATGTGGCCTCAAGGCCGCAGCTTCTCTACCCCTGATGTAGACCATTAAATCATCATCCCTATGCTTTGCATGCATCTACTCTTCTTTGAGGTTTTTACAGCAGGAAGGTAGGTGGGGTTAGTTTTTGCCTGTGACAGACTACTTGAGTGAGCTATGTTTTCAGTTAAAAGGGGGATGTGTGTGTATGGTTCTGTGATTCAGATGTAGCTGAATAACTGAAGACTGGTTTGTGTATGTCTACAAGAAAGCTCAATCAGCAATGATTCTTTCCACCTGTAAGTAAGAAATTTTGCCATTTGTTTTCAATAATGTATATTCACTGATGTATTGGCATGGAGGATTTGTCTTGAGTGGTTGACCAGTGACATGTCAAGGTTAACTCTTGTGTGTGTGTGTGTGTGTATGTGGGAAGGGGGGGGTCAACTAGACTGAACCAGCCTCTAACCTATAGATGGCCAGAGCCAAACAGAACAGGGTAGAGACAAGAGAGTCAGAAATCAAACAAACTTAATTTCAAAGTGAGGGAAATGGCTTGGAAGCAAGGAGGGGATCTAGACACGTTTCAGGGCCCTGCCCCTGCTGGGGGACCCAAAGCAGCGTGGGGATCAATACTTATACTAATGGTTATGCAATGAGGTGTAGCCCTGACAATGAGGGGTAACAGCAACAATGAGACAAGTTTGATTCATAGCAGGACTTCATGACTGGTACACAGGTACTACAGGTGCTTGTCCAAGCACAGAGAACACTTGGTGCTGGTCAAAGCAATGCAATAACTACCTGAAACAATTCTGGGATTTTGCTGTGGCTGAGATCATCCAGAGGGTGAGGGCAAACGCTGTTATGCCAAGCTCAGGGCGCAGCTTGCTTGCTGGGCCTTAGCTCTGGAAAACAGGGTGTCTCCTGATAGTATCTTGACAGTGTATACACATATACACACATGTGTATATTATATAATTTTAACAATCATTTGCCTCTCCATAATCTTAAGGTATTTACTGTTAAAAATCACTGGAGCATCTTAAGGTCCAAATATGTTAGAGAAAAAAATGTTCATTTTTGGAACCATATTTAGTAGAAAGAGGCCTGGAAGTCAAGAGGCTTATTTCCAATCCTGCCTCTCAGTGTGTAACCAGGCCAACTTTCTGCCTTTTTCCCCAGTGTAGAATGGGGCTAATGTACCCAAATGAAGTACACACTCATTGCCTATATCTCAAAGATGTATGAAGAAAACGTAAACCAAGTGAAAGCACCTTGGAAGTACTTGATCTACATAAGGTGGTATTATTATTTAATATTTTATTTTTGCCAAGTGCACATGTGAACATCTTCATTTGCAACATTGATGTGATCCCTATGATAATCAGAATACTTCAAGAATGAGGAAGACATACATTTTTGTTTTAAATTTTCAATTCCTGTATGACCAAGTCTACAGGGCCTAGTTAATAAAAAAATCACAGGCCAACCAACAAGGACAGCCCATAGGGTCACAAGATCCTAGATCAAAGAGATGGAAGGGACCTCAGAAGTTGAACTCCTTTAATTTTGGGGTTCAAGTGAGGAAGCCTGTTGTTCAGTCATTTCAGTTGTGTCTGACTCTTCATGTCCCCGTTTGGGGTTTTCTTAGCAAAGATACTGGAGTGATTTGCTATTTCCTTCTCCAGCTCATTTTCAGATGAGGAAACTGAGGCAAACTGGGTTAAGTCATGCATCTAATAAGTGTCTGAAGCCAGATTTGAACTTGAGAAGATGAGTCTTCCTGATTCCTCCAGGTCTGGCCCTTGATCCACTGCACCACCTAGCTGCCCAGGGAATTTGTGACATAGGCTCATTAATGTAGAGCTGGAAGGCGATAGAGAGCTCAGAGGTTATTCAGTCCAAGCCCCTTGTTTTAGAGATAAGCAAACTGAGTCTCAGAGAGGTTAAATGATTTGCTCAAGGTCAAGTTGAGAGTAAGGTCAGAAACAGAATTTAAATCCCAAAGCTCAGACTCAAAAGCCAGTGCTCCTTGGTGCCTCTCTACTCTTTTGTGACATCATTAAAACTTTATCTCAATTAAAAGATATAGGTTTGAATTGTGGTTCTGCTGTTTACCACTTTTGTGACTTTGGGAAAACAGAGGCTCTCGGGGTCTCTGTTTCCTCTTATGTAAAAAAATGGATTGAACTTTTAGAATCCTTAGGTTCTTTCAAAGTTTCAGCTCTAATAGCACCTCTTTCCTCATCATCCCAGCTGATAGTACCTTCTTTCCCCAAAACTACATTGTATGATTTATAAAATCCAGAGAGCAGCTGAGAGATAGTGGGTAGGGAACTGGTCTCAGCTAGGAAGTTGCTATTGTTCAGTCATTCAGCCCTGTCCAACTCTTCGTGACCCCTCGGACCACAGCACACCAGGCCCTTCTGTCCTTCACTATCTCTCAAAGTCTGTCCAAGTTCATGTTTGTTGCTTCCATGACACTATTCATCTCATCCTCTGCCACTTTTGCCTTCAATCTTTCCCAACATCAAGGTCTTTTCTAATGAGTCCCGTCTTCTCACTATGTGGCCAAAGTATTTAAACTTCAGCTTAAGTATTCACCTTCCAGTGAATACTTGAATTAGTTTCTTTAATTATTGACTGGTTTGATCTCCTTGCTTTCCAAGGGACTCTCAAAAGTCTTCCCTAGCATCACAATTCAAAAGCCTCAATTCTGCGGTGCTCAGCTGTCCTTATAGTCCAACTCTCACAGTCACATGTTGCTACTGGAAAAAACCATAGCTTTGACTTCTGTGAACCTTTGGGAGCCAGGTGATATCCCTGTATTTTAGCATCCTGTCCAGATCTGCTATCGCTTTCCCTCCAAGGAGAAAGCATTCAATTGTCACCTCTGACACATACTGGCTATGTGACCCTAGACCAAGTCATTTAACCTCTCCATGGTCTAGGCAACTCTCTAAGAAGCTAAATTGTAGACAAAGTGCTGACCTGCCCCGGTAGATTGAGTTTCCTCCTTCATTAGGTCAATTAAATCATAGATCTAGTCCTTAACACAGCCTCTCCTTACAGAATGCAAGCGCCTGTAGGGCAGGGAGGATGTTTTTTCTTTCAGTGCCCAGAACCTGACAGGATGCCTGGGATGTGGTAGGCACTTGATAAAAGCTTATGTGATTGATAAGAAGACTGAAGTTTCTTTTCAGCTCTAACCCTACGATCATCCTGTGACCCTGATAGTGAAGTATGACACATAGTGAACGTAATTAATATTATTAATATGTATACCAGCTAGAAAGCACTGTGGATAATGTATTGGACCTGGAGTCAGGAAGTCCCCAATTCAATTCTGGCCTGAGACACTTACTAGCTGTGTGACTCTGGAGGAGTCACTTTTAATCTCTGTTTGCCTCACTTTCTTTATCTGTAAAACGGGGACAATGATCACACCTACCTTCCTGGGTTGTTGTGAGGATAAAATTTTATAATATTTGAAAAGCTCTTTGCAGGCCTTAAAGTGCTATATAAATGCTAGCTATTATTTTTATTAATAACAATAACAAATGGATTGAGGAATAGGTGACTTGTCAGGGATATATTTTTAAATACATTTTTAATTCTGTGGAAAACAGACTTGGTGATCACCCACTATCACCTCCACTTTTTTGATATGATTCTAGGATGAGAAAAAAAGAGTTTCACTTCCGTCATGGGTTACACCTAAATATGACTCCATTTTCTTCTGAATAAAATATATGTTTGTTCCTGTAATGGTACCAAGAAATATTACAGAGATAGCCACTTTTACCACATATACATATTTCCCAACACAAGTGCTGAGTGGTTTTTTGGGGTTTTTCTTTTTTTTTTTTACTGTTTTCAAGGCACCCTGTCAAACTAAGAGAAACTCAAGTCATTGATCCCAGACAGGGAGGCTTTGAAAAGAAAAGGCAACTGTCTATAGGGTATGATTTAAAAGATACTGCCATTAGGCCTTACAAGCCCCAGGTAGTTTTTTCCCTTCCTTGGAGTCACTTTCCTGGGTAAGCCAACTGAGGCTGGGTTTCCAGGTCCAGGTGATCATATTACCTCCAAGGAGAATATTTTCTAACATTCTCATTAGCACGTGAAAAAAAGATTAGTTGTCTTCTTGCTTTCAAGGGAAATGTCCTGGAGCTCTTGAGAGAATAGCAAAGTCAGAGTGGGTGGTAGAAACCAATGGTCTGGGCTTCCAAAGAGGAAAAATAACTGAAAACCCTTGAGGGGATAGTCAAGAAATGTCAGTGTATATGTCTACCCTCACATTAGGGGAGTGGAAGGAGTTCTTCCCTTTTCCACGATTCCATTAATTGTAAGGGAGTTGGGCTACTAGATAATCTGTAATGCTTCTTCCAAGGGTCTAGTAATTTTTACCTAAAAGACAGCGACTTCCTTTTCTGATTTTCAGATTTAGGAAGGAACCTTAGCTGATATATAGTCCAAGTTTCATTTTATGGATGAAATGAAGTCGCAATTAGGCAACCTGTCTACCTCAGGTTACGTTGGCACTTCTTAGTAGAGATGGGATTAGAACTCGTCTGCTAACTTCTTCCAGGGCACTGCCTCCTGGGGCTAGGGCATTAATGAAAAGAGCACTAACCTAGTAGTCAGAAGCCTAGGGGCTTCTTCCAAACTCTAATTCCTAACTCTGTTCTCAGCTATGTGACCTTGGAAAAATGACTTCATCTCTAAGCACCTTAATTCCCACCCTTTTTCAAGAAGGGTAATTTGCCTCTGATGACACCACAGGGTAGAACTTGTGAATAATAGAATTTTCCAGCTGGAAGGGAGCTCAGAGAAAAAAATATATGCAATATACATTAAGAAGGGGAATAGATGAAGACAGGGAGAATAGGAAAGAAGAAACGTCTGGCTTGCACTGGCTGTTTTTTATGAAAGAAATGAATTGTCCTTCCCTAAGTGTAGAGATGATCAGGGTCCCTAGAGCTCAGGGCTGGCCATAGACAGAATAGAGAGTATCTTAAGAAAAGAAAGTCCTTTCAGTGATTTCTCATTCCTTTTTGGAGATTCTCTCAGGTGTCCACAGTCTTCATATAGCTCCCAAATCCCCCAAGGCTCTTCCTACTTAGGGGCCTCATAGACCACCAGACCTGCTCTGTGGTTTGGTAGGTTGCCATATTTTTCTCTTTTCTCTAAGACTTAACTAGCTTTGTGTTTCATTAACCCCTCACCCTATTTTTTGCTAGGTGATATTAGCTCATAATCTCATGTCTGAACTATTGCAATGGCCGGTTGGTTG